ATTATTACATGGAATGCACTCTTCACATAAACAAACAGTCCTATAGTATTGAGGAGACCTGGTGTGACAATGAAAGGTTGGTGGTTCAAAGCCACCAGAAGCTCCTTGGAAACCCTATACAAGGTCAGTATGAGTTAGAACCGACTCGATGGCACTTAACAACAACATGATGGTAAAAGTTAAAATAATTCTTTTAAAAGCATTCTATTATTTAAGGATGGTTATTTCCACCTGGTGTGGCGCTGTAGGATAAGTCCTCGAACACAAGGTCAGTTTCAACTGCAAGGTTGGCAGTTCAAATTCACCAGCCGCTCCTCAGAAACCTTAAATAGAGTTGCTATGAGTCGGAATGGATTCGACGGCACTTAACAACAACAACATTCCCACACAACATATAGGATGTTCATGTTAAATATATCCTTGTACACAGGGAGATTGCTAAGATTTGCTGTGTAAGTTAGAGAGGTGGTAGGATATGTACAGTTACTCCTGGTACTAGCTAAATTCCATCTCTCTGTACCTCTTATCTGAGAAGGATCAGCTAGACAAATATAAGGTGTCCCAGGGTCCCAGGGTCAAACGACCAGGGTCCCAGGGTCAAACGACCAGGGTCCCAGGCCTGGTTCCACCAAGGCCACCCCTCTGCACATCTCTCCTCGCCTGCACATCTTTCATTTGGTTGTATAAGAGTAAGTAAAAACGTACTGCTAAGAGTTCATGCCTGAGTGGGTCCATTCCAAACAAAGCGTGTGTAACTATGTCTCTGAGACAAGTTCTCTCAGCAATACGAGGGGGCTTCAAAAAGTCAGTGGAAAAATTCCATTATATTTTCATGCCGTTTTTCCCAAGAACTTTTTGAAGGCCCCTCCTATGCCTGTTTTAATCTTATTAGATTGCCTTTAAAAAAAGAAAGGATTTTTGCGTGTGTTTGTGTGCTATGGGAAAAAAACAAACTATTCTGAGGTCAGAGCTAATTAACATATATTATCTAAATGTAACTCCATGAGAGATTTCTCACTGGAAATATGAGGTTTTCCAAAAGTCCACTAAAATCTACTAACCCACTGACCCTCGATTCAGGGTCATAGAAACGCTTTTTTTGTTGTTGTGAATTGCTGTCGAGTTGGTTCCAACCCATGGTGACTGTATTGGGTTTCCAAGGAGCAGCTAGTGTGTTTGAACCGTTGACTTTGTGGTTCTCAGTCCGGTGCCGATCCTATAGTACCACACAACCATATGTTGTTGTTGTTATGTGCCGTGGAGTCGGTTCTGACTCATAGCGACCCTGTACAGGGTTTCCGAAGCTGTAAATCTTTACGGGAGCAGAAAGCGTCATCTTTCTCTTGCAGAACAGCTGGTAGTTTCGAACTGCTGACCCTGAGGTTAACAGCCCAATTCGGAACCACTATGCTACCATCTCTGGGTATGGGGCATGGGCATACAGAGTTTTAAAGATGCCCTGAGATTCTAAAGTGAAGCCTGGGTTAGGAACTACCAAGGAACTTCTCCCAGCTTCAGTTTCCACATTTCTGTAATGGAGAAAATGATAACTGTAGTACAAGATTATTGTAGTGAAAATGAAAAATGCCTGTATATGCTGGCCCAAGGTGGGACTGTCCAATCTCAGGGGGGGAATTATAAAGACAACTTATACATCTTAAATCAGCACTCATCAATTCATGGCAAACAAAAAACGGGGAAATTAGTCAAAAGAGGAGAGCAAGGATTTTTACCTTCAAAACGAAGAACAAAAAATGCAACATAGGAAAAAGACACAACAACATGAGAGAAACAGCAGACGTGAAGTTTGTTTCAAGTAAGAAGAAATTAAAGAGGAACTGCCCCCAGGCCAGCCACACCCATACTTGCACATCTTCATCCAGAAGAACTTTGTGCACGGGGGAACTCAAACTCCCAAGAACAGTGTGCCATGTGCAAAGAATGAGTCCGAGAGAAAATATGGAATTTAACCGCAAGATCGGTTTGAACCACAAGGTCAGCGGTTCAAACTCACCAGCTGCTCCTTGGAAACCCTACACTTGGTTAGTATGAGTCGGAACCGACTGGAAGGCACTTTACAACACAGCAATATACTTGACATAAAATATTGGAAAGAATTGAAATGAAAGGAAAATGCCAAATTATCTTACGACAGTAGGCAAGGTATAAAAACGCCACCTTTAATTAAGAGTGAAGAATGTAAAAATTGTCATGGGAATGCGAGATATATTCTGTAGGGGGTGAGTTAGTAATAAGATGCCACCATCCATGAACAAAGGTTGAGATATTGGATAATGGAGAAAATGTGAGGAAACAAAACAGATGTGGTAATCAGCTTGGAGGAGTCCCGGCATGGCACTGTGGGTTAATGTGCTGGACTGCAAAGTCGATGTGAACCGAAGCATCAGCAGTTCAAGCTCACCAGTCACTCCTCAGAAACCCTATACAGGATCGCTATGGGTTGGAACTGACGGGACAGCACGTAACAATCAATCAGATTTGAAACACCCAGAATACAGTCTCCTATTTAAGTGGAAGAAATAAGAACATAAGAGTGTCGTGTACATGCCTCTTGTAGTGCTAGCTCCCACAGTGGCTGATGTATATAGTACTGCTGTCAGTTTGTTATTCTGTGGGGGTTTGTGTGATGATGCTATGATGCTAGAAGCTATGCCATGAATATCCCAAGTGCCAGGAGGTCACCCATGATGGACAGGTTTCAAGGGAATTTATGGACTAAGATACAGTAGGAAGAAAGTCCTGGAAATCTATTTCCAAAAACGAGGCAATGAAAACCCGATGGACCACAAGAGCATACTGTCTACTACAGTGCGGGATGTCATCAAGGAAAGACTAATTATTAGAGAAGGGCATCATGCTTGATGAGGTGGAAGGTCAACAAAGATGAGGGAAATCCTTAATTAGGCAGAGCAATGCAACCCCTGCAACAAAGCGCTCATATATCACAGGGCCAGAATGGGATGTGGTTTGTCAGACATGTAGTCACCATGAGTTGGAGCCAGCTGATGGCCAACTAATAACTTGAATTTTTCAGTATATTATATTATTAGGAAATGTATTAAAATCACAGAGAATGAAGATACACATGAAAAATCAAATCTGGGAACTTACACAAATACATGCAAAGAGTATTTCTGAACGAAAATAGACAGATTGGAAGTAGGACAAAATGACCATGCGTGACTCGCCAGGCCACAAAATAAGGAAAAGAATCCCTAATTATCACTGTGGTACAGCATCAAAGCTCTACTTGAGTGCCTGGAATTTTCACTCAAAAAAAAACAACAAAATATGGCAAGGCTGTATTTGGAAAGATTTTTCTCAATGGTTACTTTTCAGGGATATAGCTCAGGATTTTAATTTTTAAAAAAGGCAGAACTGAATTAGTACTTAGTCTACAGTATCTTCAATGAACATCTATAGACAGGGCACAGAGGAGACTATTTGAAAGTCAGTTAGGGTCCCTGAAGAAGCTTGCAGTCTCCACCTCTAACTAACAGTGTGACCCCGGCTTTCCGATTCACCTATGAAGATAAAAATTCTGTTCTACATAAAGTGCCTAGTTCTTTTCCAGCTTAAAAGAAGTTCTCTTAAATTTCAGCTATCATCCTAAGGAAATACCAAATCATGCATAAATCTTTCACTCTAGGTTTGATTTCCTTTAGCAACATCAGACCCAGAAATAGCCATGCTATCGCCTCCACCCTTCTAAACATATGCCTTCCCCTTTCTTTTATTTTTAAGGAACAGTTCATCAAGAAAGTTTCCTTTTAGCCCCTCTTTAACTTTGAGAATTTAAAACAAGATTGTTAACAAGAGATTTTGCCTCATTATTGTTGGTTCTACCGTCAGAACCGACTCGATGGTACTTAACACCAATAACACATGTATTTAAGTTTACTTTTATACTTGACTTTCCAAAGTATACATTATCTTTTACAAAAGGAAATTGGATGCGCAGTTTTGGACGAATTTTGACCAAGAATCACATCAAGTTCTTTATAAATGTATATTTCTTATGCATTACATATGAAATACTTAGAACAACAAGCAAAGATCAGAGAATGTATCTTCCCATGGTCTTTGTATTGTCATTATATTTCACAACCAATTCTTGTCCCAAATCATGTCTTCTAGACCATTTAACATTACTTCTATCTCTTTGTATTTTGAAGTAAAATATTTAAAATCTGAACTAGCATTGTTGTTGTTAAGTGCTGTCACATCAGTTCCAACTCATAGCAACCCTGTATTCAGATACATGTGGCATTAGAGCCAAATTAATTATACTAGTTTTATTTTAATCCCTTAGGCGATTTAAGATACTTCATGGCACAAATTTTTAAATACTCATGTTAGTTCTGGATAGGGGCCCTACATTTTTTATTTGCACATTTGATTCACAGGCCAAATTTCTTGCATATTATCTACTTGAACTTATATTCAAGAAAGTATCAGAAATCAAAATGTGCAAATACTTTTAGAAAAAAGAAAGTTGGAGAAAAGAAATCACGTGATTTCTCTGTTTAGATTTTCCTGAAAGTATAACAGAACAGGCTTCTTAGACAAATGAGGTACCTTTTAGCTACTTTACAAGGCTCACATGGTAATAAGCATAGATAATAAAAGATGAAACGTAAAAAGCATTTAGTTCAAAAGCAGGAGCAAGCAGAGATCATATTCAAACATACAAATCCCAAATCTTTGTAAACACACAACAAACAAAAAAGCTTAACAGGAAAGAGAGTAGAAATCATTTTCAAGCAATCTCCCCAAATTCAGAATATGCAAGATAATCAAACTCATTTGAAAAACTGGTAGGGAATAATCCACATGCACTTTTCTGCACTTTATTCATGATTTCCTATAGGAAGCATGCAGTTGAACATATGCTATCTTCAGCTGCACAGAAATGAATGTTCAGTCTATCCACTGGCTGATTAAAGAGCAAATTGAAGGATATGTACAAAGACACCTACCATTGTCACTGTCTCCTTCAGATGGAAGGCTGTAGCTAGAGCTGTCCCATGTTTGTGCCTGTGTAAGTTTGTTGAAGGAGATAGGAGGGAGAATGAGGGCTGGGTCTGCAGGAGAGCAAGAAAGCCAGTCCACACAGAGTTGCACAAGGACCAGGAAAAACCAAAGGGGCGGCAATTGCATAAATGGCATAGGGTTGTATGGAAATGAAGCGAATTTCATTTATGTGGGATTAATTTCAAATGTACAATATAGGAGGAGAATGAAAGATGGTGCATGGAATAAAAAGAATGATAAAATTGAGTATTAGTACTTATCAACCATAAACTTTGCATGCAGTTAATATTGTTAATCAAAACAGTTCCGCAAGCACACTGATTTAAAGTTCTAATGAAACATGTCAGTTGGCAGAAAGAGTATCCGTAGATTACATAGATAAAAAGCAAAAGACCTACGAAATACCCATTTCAGAGACTTTCCAAATCACTAGCCTTCTTAGCAAAGAGTTTCACACAAAAAGTTTGGTTACATAAGACAAAGCTTAATATAGATGTAAACTTCACTACTACTTAGAAATAAAACTATTACAGAATCAGTATTTACTATTCATTATTGTTTACCCTGAGGAAATATAAAATTTCTCATTATAGATCTGTAAGATTAGTGGTACATTTTACTGGTAGCTGAATCTAGTTAACTCTTTTCTCATCCCTTTGACACAGATACCTCTCAATACTGTCTTCGATAGTGATCAACATAAAAGCAATTTCCACACTGGTTGACTATTTTTTTACCAATAAACCCAGTTAATTAATAGAGGTTGTAATCAATTTTAAAGACATTTGAGTTGGTCACTTATGAAATGATAACAGCTTTTTATTTGTATAGTATTTTCATATACTTGGGATATTTCTAATACAATTTTTGACTCAATCATAAGGGAGGGTTATAAAATAAACACATGTGGTTTTAAGAATAAATATTAAAGTACATGCAATTTTCTTTCTTTGGGACTAAGTCAAAGAATATGAAAAAACAACAAAAAAAGAGTTTCTTTAAAGAAAATCATCAACCAAGTTTTAGGATCCAAGTTCTTCCAATTTACTATTTTTTATTTATAATACAGAAGTCACAAAATTTACATACTTATTTTAAAATAAAAAACTAATTGACTTCTATAAGTTTTAGAATTGGTTTCTAGCTTTTTAAACTATAAGATTCTCAATTCAGGTCTCTCTATATATATATACATATA